AATCCTTACAAACACAAGTATGCAAGACTGCTGGCAGCACAACTATGTCTTCAATCCTCCCACCCCCCTCTCCTTCCTCCCTACTGGACACGAGATCTTCTTCCTCAATACCCTCATCCAGGGGGGTCTACGCGATGTCTTCCTCTCTTGGCCTTAGGAGCTTAGCGTCGACGTCTGGGAAGAGCTCTGTTGCCCTTCGTTGGCAGCTCATCCACCCACTATCCCAGTACAGGCTCAGCTGATGCTTGTAAATGTCAGACTATTAGAAGTTTTCTATTATCTCTGCCTTCGTCTGCCCCTCCACTTCGAAGGCCCCGCCTCATTTTCTCTGCCCTTGGCCAGACTAGCAGCTATCGCAGCATCTATGGCTATTTGGAATTCTGTCGACTGCTTGTATTGCTCCACAGTTGTGCCATAGAAGTCAGGGTAGGCAACTCTCTCTGACAGCAATGTTCTACTCAGCTCGGTTAACTTCTCCCACTCTACCTCCAAAGCCTCTAGCGAGGCCCCTTTCTAACTTTGCAATTCGTGCATCTGCGTCCTCCTTTTCCTTCATAGTCTGATCACGTAATTCTTCGTTATTGGCCAGGGCTTCCTCCAACCTCTCGTTGGCAGTGGTGCAGGCTTCCTGGACCTTGCCAGTTCTCTTTTGCTCAGCCACCAAATTAAATTCCAGCATCACTACCTCATGACGCGCCGCCTCTAACTCGAACTTGTCTTGGTTCAGATCAACATTCACAGCCGCCAACGTTGCAGCCATTTCTATCTGCCCCGCTGTAGCTCTCTCAGCTATAAACCCCTGTACCACTACCAATACTTCCATGTTTCTAGCCTACTTCGCATACATCAGGCCTCTAGCATAGGCACTTCGTGCCATTTTTTGCCACCGCCCTATCTCTGCCATCGCCGCCTCCAATTGTGCTTTGAGGGGCTCCATGTCCATCATCGCACTTACTCTTTTGCCCAGGAGAGCGGCTGCCAATGTCAGAGACTCCATCTGCGATGAGCAAAAAGCCCTCATCAGCTTACCCTCCCCAAACCTGGAAACGCCCCTCACGGCAGCATCTTCTATGGTGCCTAACAAACGCTCCGCTATCGTTCACACTGTTAGTGACACCTCTGACGACTCCCTCCCTTCAGCCGACGCCCAACTGATCACGGCACTCAAGTGGCGAATGGCGGTACCCTTGCTCTCTACGCTTGGGCCTACCCCAACATTACCTCATTGTGCCACGACAGGACATCTCCCTTCCACACCTTGCCTTATCAACCCCCTCTTCGGCTGAAGGGACGTCCACTACTGGCTCAGAGGCACCCACACCTACTTCCTGCTTTGAGGGGCGATCCGTCATCTGCTCCATCCCTTTTTCCCCTCCATTCCCCTAAGTCTACCATTTTTGCCACCGGTGGGTCCTCCTTCCATCCCTCGGACGTCATTCCAGGCCTTGGCCTCCCACCCCCTCCACTGTTTGTTTCGTCTCTCTTTTCCCCTCTTTGCCTTCTTCCCCTCATTCTCTTCTCTTAGCACCCTCTTCTTCTTCAACACTCGGTCCACTTCCGCTTTGCTCATTTCCTTAATCAGATCCATAGGCGCTTTCAGCGGCACTAATGTTTTCCAGTCTCGCTCTTCTACGCCTTTGGGATGCGGCAGGATGAACCTTTTTGCGATCGATTTCGGGTTAGGTCCCAACTCCTTCTCCTTGTATCTCTTAGTCGCTGCCAGCACCCGCTGATCCTTCGTCTCTTGGGTTTTTCTCATGGCCTCTACCTCCTTAGGAGTGGGATCTCCCTAGACGGGCTTTGGTCCTAAGTTCAAAGTGAGCAACACTGACAGCTTCACTAGGTCATCCCACTTCAACCCCTCATTCTCTTTTCAAGCCTTCACCTGTTTCACCCTATCCTCCGCCACTGCCCTGAACTTCGGTTCCAACGACTTTGTAGGGACTTTCCACATCATCCGCACCCCCTTTTCATCATTCTCCGACACAAAAACCACTTCGTTCGCCAACCCTTCACGGACGAAGGCAATCCGGTGACCAACCCCCTACCCGCCACTGCTTGCAAGGTCACCCAAGTCTCCTGCTGGCCTGAGGCTTTGTAACACGAGAAAAATTCCTCCACCATCATCGCCTTTCCATCAGTCGCCCATTGCTAGGAGATCGCTCACGCCAGCAAGATCTTCTACGCATTCAACATCAATTGGCTAGGCACCACCTCTAGTCGATTCAGCACCTCTACCATGATTTGAGGCATGGGCAATCTCAAACCCCCTCGGAGCGCCTCTTTATAGAGCATAAACTCCGAAGGACTCACATCCGATGTCCTCTCTTTCGTTGACAGGAGCATCAACTCCATCTCCGCCGGAATCTGGTATTTCAACTGTAACTCCTTCAGGTCTTCCAACGTCAACGTCGATTTATCTGCCTTGGTGTGCCAGTGGTCGAGGACCAGTTGACTCATAGGTAGAGCGGTCGATATCATTAACATTGACATAGGTTATGGTGGTCTCTCCCCCTTTTTTTCCCTCAACCTCCTCACCCTATATTCCTCTACTAGGGCAATACCAACGTTATCTCCTAAAGCGTCAGGCGTCAGTGCCATCCTGCTCATGTTCTTGTAAATCGCTTCGGTAGTGGGGGCAAAAACCTCGCAACGTGCAACAATGGTCAATCATACAAAACGAACGAGGTCAACTCTGGGATCTCTTAGTTTCTCGCGATTAAATACGTAAATCATACCAGCCCAAACGCCCAAGGTTTGCCTGTGTTCCACAGATCATAATTGAACTTCGCCAGTTTAAAACCTAACCGCCAAAATAAATCCCAACTTTTTGAAATCCCCTACTATAAACAACCTTTTCACTTTCTCTCAATAGTACCATATTTTGATCAAATGGTGCTGATCACCTCATGGGCACCCACGTGCTACACCGCCACCATAACCTATCTTTTTCTTTCATGTCTTTCCACTTCACATCATCACGTGCTTTCTGACCCTCGAGCCCCATGTCCATTAATGCCCCTTGTCGGTCAACCTTCTCCACACTCGGCCACCTTCGCGGTCAGCTAGCCTGACGGTTTTCCCTCACGCTCAGCCACCTTTGAGGTTGGCCAGCCTAACGGTCTTCCCTTATACTCGTCCACCTTCAAGGTCGGCCAGCTTGACAATTTTTTCCCATGCTTGGCAGCCTTCACGATCAGCCAGCCTGATGGTTATTCTTCCCAATCAGCAATCTTTGCGGTCAGCCAGCCTGACGGTCTTTTCTCACGCTTGGCCACCTTCGTGGTCGGTCGGCCTGACAGTCATTCTTCATGATCGGCCACCTTTGCCGTTGACCATCCTGAAGATCAACCACTCTCCCAGAAGCCCCTCCTGCCCCCCAATTCCCCTGCCATTACCCGGCCTTGGGGGACCACCTTCCACACTCTTATTCCCTTTGTTGGACTAAAGTTGCACTAGAGAATGAGGGAACTAAGGATACTAATGGGCACCCAAGAGGGCCCAGCCTATGAATCAGGGCCCAGCTCACAACCTAAATATTAAAGCCTAGTAACTTTGAGAAATCAATGCTAGGCCAGGACCAATAGCATTCAAACATTTGTCAGGCAGAGGCCTAGCCACGTAAGCAGACAAAGATCCTGCAAAGATATTGCACCCACACATCAACCATTTAATGAGGCCCTCGTAGCATTAAATGCAGCAACCCCTTCACGCCGGAGGAGACAGACTCACCATGAACGATGTCAACTAGGCTATACACTTTCGGCCAACAAGACAGCTTGGAATGGACAAGGAAATGATGAGCAAATGAGAGGAAGTTTTCGAGATACGTCAAGGTTAAGTTTTCTATTCCCTTGCTTCTTTCTCTCTCTCTCTCTCTCAAGTCAATCTGTTCTTACCTAACTTGGCCATCGAAGTGTCCGTCGGGGGATTATCTCCCCCTTTGGACCTTTTTGCAGGCACGTTTTGAGAACTCAAAGGCCAGCAGACCCGTTAGAAGCGTGGTTCAGTCCAACCCATCCTCCATTGAAGTAACTGCATCATCAAGTTAAAATTTTTAAATTAAAATAACATTTAACAGTTTTAATTAATTAATTTTTGTACAAGTTGATTGGTTTTTTGACCTAGTCGATTAGGCTTAACTGTTTTTGGTTTGACTGATTTACTGGTTTAACTGCGATCTTAGCAGTTTTATCAAGATATATTGATTAGATTTGTTTGATTCAAAAAAAAAAATTAGAGATTGACCTAATTAAATGTTAAATGACTGATATTGTTTGATTCGAAATGAACTTCCCATCCAAACTATTGTTAATTTTTATTCTACACAATCCCAGATCAAGAAAAGAAGGAAAAAATGAGTTGTTTTACTTATATAAAGTAAACATATACTCCTATTTAATGTTGTAGTATTGCGCATATTTTAGTTAAAGTCAATTTAAATTTTAAAATAAAATAAATTTAAAAGTTTTAATTAATTAATTTTTGTATAAGTTAGCTGGTCTTTTGATTGATTTTAACGATTTTGTCAAATATATATATATATATATTGTTTTTTATTTCTAAAGGTGTGTTTAAATTTTATGACAAACTTTAACATAGAATAAATTAAAACTAAAAAATTTATAAAAAGAAATTTATTTGTATTTATCATAAATATAATTTTTTTTATAAATTTATTCTATCTTTACTAATTAAATTATGACATCTATTTCTCATTGTGAACTTAGAATATACAATTAATGATATAACAATGGCAATATATATTCTAATAAAATAGTTAAATTTTAATTTATTTTAAATTATTTTTTTATACTTTGAAAATAAATTTTATTTTATTATTTAATTTTAAAATTATTTATTTAGCTCGTGGCACGAATTCATATGCTAATAATAAAATAATACAAAAGTAATAGTAGTTAATATCATATATATATATATGAAACATATATAAAAAGAAGGTAAGAGTGGTGTAATAGATGGTGCCACGTTGGTGCCTTTGCGCCTCTATTGTAAGTCTATTGCTTTTTTGTTTCCGAAACAGATTTCGCCTGGCTACATGGCCTTCAGCTTAGCCACACACACAAACAAACAAATTCCATCATTCAATCTGTACAAATGCTGACTTCCTTTCTGCTGTTGCTTCATTTCCAAGACCATTTCTCGTAGAAATTTCCCAAAATGGTGATCTTCAGTTTGCCTATTTCCCAAAGCTCCTCTCTGCCACATTTTTTTGTAGATTTGGGTTTACCCACGTGGAATTGAGCTCAGCGACATCGACAATGAAGAAGAAAATAAATTTTGCCCCTTCGAAGATGGGTTTTCTCACAATATATATATATATATATATCTGGTCGACGGAGTTGCTGTTGTCCTCTTCTTCCTATCACTGTCAGTGTTTTTCTAACCGTAACATTGTGAAAATTGGGCATCTAAAGCTCTGGTCCTGCAGTTGCAAATCCTGGTACGTACATCTGCAATTTCGTACATCTGTAATGTGATGGCTACTATTTACACGTGTGTTGCACAATATTGAACTACATTGTTTGTCACCCCTATCCGCATGTTCAACAGATGCACACCATGTGTTTGTTAATATGTCTCAATAATTGAGGAGTTCACCGGTTTAATTTTCTGAATTAAAAATAAGACCCATCCAATTTTCGAAGTTGAAAATTCCAATCCAAGCAAGAGAAATGTATGATATATGACTTGGAAATATAAAACAAATAAAGAAAGAAAATGAAAATCCAAAAACTATTAGACACCAAATATAGCTAAAGTTCAATTCTAAAATTCATAAACCAAACACAATTTGTAGAACTATTTATGTGGAAAAGATTTAGTTGTAATGGTGTTACTTTGGATTACATACCAAAATATATTAAACTAATACAGCAAATCTAGGTCTACTGGTTAAAACCCAAATGATGAAGAAGATGTAATTAAAAAACCAAAACTGTGTCATTGCTCGGTGGGTATTGTAGAATGAATCATAGAATCAAATTTAGGATCATAAAATAAATGTCCTTCCTGTCTTCAACGACGTGTAAGTTTTCTTTAGGTAAATGGATTAGATTTGTTTTGATTATAAAAGCAACTTCTGGAAGTAAATTAGGTTTTTATCTAAGAAAATGATCTTCATTTAGCTTGAAAAAAGGTATTACTAAATCCACCACAAATATTAGTAGATCCTCTTCACAGCAAGATTAATTTGATCTAGAAGATGAATTTGATCCTTTTGACAGCAATAATATTAGTATATCATTCAGGAACAACAAGATTAACTTGATCTATCCTGGTGTAGACACCCCATTGGCACTTCTTTCAAAAAAATCTGTTTTTCTCAAAACGATTTGTCGGATTTGGACTCTTTGGTTCAGACTTAGAACCGTGACTTTTGAGAGTCCTGAGCTGTAGTGACCCCAAATGAACAGAACGGGAGCTAACCCTCCCGGGGCGTTCGGGGGACGTCTACACCTGGTAATCACCCATTCAGGTAGTCTAAAAGGTTGAGTTAAGTGTATATGTATCATTTTCAGCAACTAAAAAACCAAAAAAAAAAATTTCTAAAAGAGTTTTCCTTCTAGTATTTAAATTGGAATGATTCACAAAAAGACTATGTATCATAATTCATTGGCAAATTGGAGTTATTCTAAAATGAATTTTCATCTAAAGTTGTTTTGGTGTGGAGTTTTATATCTATATATCTTGAATTTGGATTTGGATTTGGATTTGGATTTTTTTTTCTTTGGGTTGTCTTGAATGGGAAGTGAAAAAACACAATTTGTGTACAATGTTCCATCTTCCCATCAACAAAAGACATAGACATGTAAATAAACTCCCAATTCAATTCCAAACCTATTTCTATGCTGCTGCCCTCTAAACAGAATAGGTCTGCTTGCAAAAATGAACTTAACTGGTACATTTGGATTCATTGACTATAAAATTGTATCATTTTCAGGGAAACATTTGTACCTTTTCTATTTATTTCTTTATTCATTTTGTTAGGGTTTAAATGTATTATTTTGAAGTGATATGTAGTGATAATTAAAGAGTTTCTATGGGTGTGTTTGGTAACGTTTACGTTTTCAGTTTATATTTACAAAAATTTTATAAATTAGTTTTTGTTTATTTTTTGTTTATTGTTAGAAAAACATAAACTACAAACGCGTTTGGTAATTGACAAAATGTTTAAAAAATTTTAAAA